TGAAAAAACCATGTTGAGTAGTGGTGATAGAATTTTTTACCATAAAAAACATTATCTTACAAATTATAAATTCAAATATTTTACCAAATAAACTTAGCAGAGATATCGGCCTGTAATTTGTTGCATCGTTAATGTCTCCCGATTTGTGTATCGGTAACACTTGAGCTATTTTCCAAACTTTGGGATATGTACCTTCACGTAGACATTTATTGTACAGTATGTGAAGGGGCTCAACCAGACTTTCCTTACATGATTTCAAAAATACTGCAGGGAAACCATCAGGGCCACTTCCTTTATTATTATCTAACTGTGACAATGCGGCCAGAATTTCTATGCTGGGAAAGGGCCGGTGTTCCGTCGTGCCGATACCACATTCTTTGACGGACTAAGATATGCATTTCTTCAAGTAAAGCAGGTAGAACTTCATCCAGAAATATTCTGTAGGACTTTCCATTCAAACGAGGAGGAAGAAGATATGGCCCCACAATATGATTCTCGACAATATCTGCCCAAATATTTACAGAAAACTTCTGTCAGTAGCTTTTTTGGAACATACCATGAGGATTTTCTTCATCCCATAAATGGCTATTCCTGCTATTGAAAGATTCATCTCTAGTGAAACATGCCTCATCGGTGAATAATAGATATCTAGGAAAGTCATTTGCTTCCTGGTAATCCTCATAATATTAAACCCTACAGGGACCATAATTACCAGCATTTAGGGCCATCACTTTCTGTAAGTGGAACGGATACAATTGTTGTTCACGTGCTACTCGACTAACTGTAGAATGGGAAACTTGCATATTATTTGCGATTTTTATTTTTTTGCAATTACATACCTCGTTGGTCCCAGCACTGGGACCAAACGCCCCATAAGTCTAAACTTGTGCGGGGTTAGGTATACATACAAACACAAACATCCATGGCCTAACTAGGATTCGAACCTAGGTGTCGGTGGGAGTCCCCATACGAACTCAGCGCCTTCACGCTCTCGACCACCGAGCAGCAATTGTGATTGCCCGAGTAGAAGGATTTTCTGCTAATCGGTCAAGAATTTTCTCCTCAGTATCGTTATCTTTTATCGTTCTCCTTGTCCCACAATTGTGTTTATTGAATTTGAAGGACCCAGTTTCCCTTAATCGTCGATGGACAGCTATAAAAGTCGTGAAATGTCGATGATGTATCTGTTTGAAAATCTATTCCGATATAATTCAGCAGCGGCTCTTGAATTCCCACCAGTTTCAACATAGATAAAATGCATAATCCTGACAACTTTTGACAATGGCATGTGTTGTTATCAATGAATTCATTCTTTTTTTTTTTTTTCGACGAGGATGATCAAAATCGCTGTGTCTTTTTCTATTCTAATGTTCATAATAGACTCAATTTTGCAACGAATGAAAAGAAAATTATGGAGTAAAGTATGGTCTTCCCGATTTTCCCATACCTGCTTGTTCAAGTAATATGTAATGATCAAATTCACATATTCGACAACTAGTATCTCAAATATGTTGCATTTCAAGACATACTTCAATATAAACTGTTCACCTCGAAATAAAGTGTGGAATGAGAAGTAATAGAAGTTTCTCGATTCTGATTCACCCGTACAATGCTTTAGATCTCATCAACATTCAAAAATGTTCAGGAGGTTGAAAAATGTTGTGCTTTCTCGTAAAAGTTCAGCATTATTATGCGATTATGGCACACGAGACATATCTTTAGTTTTTTGCAAATATCTTGGAAACCTCTACACTTAGGAATGCAGAATGTTATTACTTTTAGGTTAGGTATTGATAAGACTAACTGATGTCATACACCAATTTGACAATTCATCTGTCTAAGGAAGAATATGAAGGAAAATGTGGCGATATACGATATATGAAAACTCTATGTGATTACCCTGATCAATCTGGATCAGTAAACTGAGTTTTATATTTTTGCTACAGGGGTTCTGGAAAAATTTAGAGAAATCTTAACTTTTTTCGTACTTTCGACACCCTGTATCTCAGTGAAGATGCATTTTAGGACATACGTTGATAGGAACTTTTCACCTCAAAATGAGGTGAGGAATCCGTGTACGAAGTTTGTCAGTCTTATTCTGACTCACCCTGTATATCTTAACTATCTAATGAACTATCATTATAACAAAAATGTTCGTCGATTTGCAAACAATGAAACCATACAAAATTATAATAATAAAGAAATATCTCCACATTCAGAAAAATTGTTCGTCAAAAATCCTCCCGAACCATCGGTCTTAGGCTGTATAATATATGATCTAATGAATACAAATTGTTGAGTGAATGAGAACGAAGGTAAAATCTGTGATATTGGCCATAGTCCCATATAGTCTTGAAGTGTTCATTGATTATTTCAGGTAAAACTTGTTCAATGTTAATGTATGTCTTTCACGTTTGTATTTGTTTTATACCATTTTATATATTTTTATGTGTAATTGATGAGTTGTTTAAAGATTTGTGCCAAAACATGTATGAGTTCTTTGAAAATGGATCAATAGATGAAATCTATCTAGCTATGTTTTGAATTGACTCGGTGGTTACTTGATAGAAATACATAGTAACAGTGAAAAACTTCACAAACGATGAGATTTCCACAAAATTCTTAGTCGCACGACATGTTCCGCTAACACAGTAGCTTCTTCAGGTGGAATACTGGTACAATAAAATAAACCCTCATTGGCTTGCCTAGCTTTTGAATCCTACTCTCCCTACCTGAAGGATTGGAATTACTTCTGGAAAGGTTCGATGAACCTTCAGCTACTGTGTTAGCGAAACATGTGTGACTAAGAATTTTGTGGAAATCTTATAGTTTGTGTGAAGTTTTTACATTTATCTATCTATGTATTCATAATATTATACACCACTAAAGACAATGTGTAAGTGGGTTGTTTGATTATAAACGTTCGAACATAAATAATCAGTCATTAGTGCAGATGCTATTGATGCTATAGTAGGTAATTGTTCTAAAATTGTTCTATACGTCATTCGGTTGCCCCCTTACGAGCACCCCTTTTAACGTGTGATCCCAAACACTTTCTTGGGACATCAGGAAAATTTCTGCAGACGCGGGAATTGAACCCACTACCGGCAAGCGAATGCGGATTAGAATACTGACACTCTGACCGCACGACTACCTGGCCCCCTCAATTGAAAGTTAATATTTAGGAGATTTCCGAATACACGCGAATGAAAGCCTCAATGATGAATATTAACTGTTGTAAGTATGTATTTATGTTTACAGAAATTGTTTTTGTTCTTTTTCAAAAATGAAGAAATGTTCAGAAGTTTCATACCAAAGAATATATGTATATACCCAACGCGATCACTTGAATATACTTATCCAAGCCATCACTTAACTGCTTTTGAAAATGGCCCTTCCTACAGAGGTATCAAATTTTATAACAAACTTCCAGATGATTAAAAAAAAAATCAAATGACTTACAACAGAAGAAAATTTACATTTTTAGCCAGTTTCTCTAGAATCTCAAATAATCTTTGACACTATTTTGTCAAATCTGCTTACCTTTGTTTATCATTTGTACTGTACATTTTCCTCATAATAAATAGTACTCTTATTATTGATTAATTATTTTCATCAATCAATCAATCAATCAAAATATGATTCATTATCAAAGAATAATATCTCATTGACAAAGCGTGTATTCATAAATGTAAATTGAATTGATAACATTTGATAAATGTATAAAAATAGTCAGTACTATATAAAATTGAATTGAATCAAAACAATTAGTCACGTATTGGAGTTTGCATACATATAAATATGTATGTAAATAAACAGTTATTATTATGTATGTACAGTGTCATTGATAAAGACCGTAAAATATGGGGAAGAGGTTTACCATTGTATTGAAAAAAATATTTGCAGGGATATATTATGTAAAAATCGATTTTGATACATATCACGTGATCACTTGATATGGCATATCGAAAAAAAATATTATGATGAGGCCAAAAGTGGAGTTATATCATCTAACTCAGATGGCAAGATATCGAAAATAGATATTGGAAAAAGCTTAGAATTCAATTTTATACTCACATACAAATAATTGCTTGATTATTCGATCGAAAATATCTATTTTTCGAATATTTTTCGATCTCATTACATTACAATTATTTCTCCTGAATAGGTTGATAGTAGTGATACCCTCGTATTCCGATGAGAAAAGAGCAATCTCGTTTTCTTTACCAGATAGCTTTAATTTTTTTCGATCAACCGCCATACCCAGTGATCACGTGACATGTTGTAAAATCGATATTTAGGTTATCGGACATGCATAATGGATCCCCCAGAAAAAGTTTTTCGATACTCTAATGATAGTTCCCTATAAGTTGCAGACTTTATGGATGACACTGTATAAGTACAAGTAAACCAATGAAGGAACTAAAGTAACGACCATTTCTCTTCTTTGTTATCGATAGTTCTTTGTATCAATGAATGTGTCCACAGAGTGACCCATTTGAAAACGGGCCACCCTCATACATTTTTTATTAATGGAGCGATTTCGACTTCTTCAAATATGGAGGCGTAGTGAAATTTTTATAAGAGGTAAAACAAACATAATTAAAGTCCCCGTGATCGATATCGGTTGGCGGAATAGAACGGTATGTTCGAATCAGGCCGTAATTTTTAACAACTTTGAACAGCTCATAATGTGCAACAAAAACATTCGAATGTTATGAACAATTCTTTCAGGTCTGTAATATCAGTGTAATTGTTGATTGTGGAGAATTTGATACCAGTTCAGTACCCTACTTAAACATCTGACTATATGTTCAACTGATTCTGCTCTCAATCTCATCTTACTAGTTAAATTTTGGATATTTTTCTCTTACAATTTAATATCGGCAAATTTTGAACTGAAATAACCCGTTAATAATAAATAAAACTCGAAATATAAGCTATTTTATGGGTATGTATAAAAAAAAGCATGTCTACGAGAAAAAGGCATCTGAACTCACCGATTGCTACAGCTGTTTCCATAGCATCTCCAGTAACCATCTTGACTTGTACGCCCGAATCCTTCAAAATTGTAATGGCCTCCCTAACCAAAGGTCTGGGTGGATCACAGATACCAACAATACCCATATAGGTCAAATCTTGCAGCCCAGTTCCCTGAGCCATACTGATAACTCGAAGTCCTTTCTTTGCAATTTCATGAGATTCAGCAATGAAATCATTGATTTTGTTTTCAGTTATTGGCAGATCGTTGCCATTCCAAGCATATTTTGTGCATTTTGGGAGTACTTTTTCAATAGCACCTAGAATGAATAACAATATTCATGGAATATGGAAGCATAAATTGTTCAAGATAGTTTCCTATAGCAAATAACATGGTCAACTCTTTGAACTACGCAATACAAAATGCAGTTAATTAAAACAGAATAATTATTGCTGAAATTTCGATTAGTTTGACACCTTGGGGTTCATCAATTGATGCCAGAAAATTTTCAATTTAGTGTATTAATATGAGATATGAATATAGATCTCCTTGATATTGACAATGATTCTCAAAATGATTCAACAGTTCTGAATGAATACGGATTTATATCAGCAATAAATACTACCACACGGCCCTTATCTGGAACATGCATAGATCATATTTTTGTAAATTCTAAAACTAGTGAGTATGACACAACAATAGCTGCCACAGTCAAAACATGTGTAACACATTAACATTCAACAGCATTAGGGAATCAGCTGTCGCAAAACATCAAAAATGACAAACACTATGGAGAAAACAAAAAATATACAATGCAGTTGATAACAGGAGACCATGTATAGGTGTTTTTCTAGATCTATCAAAGGCCTTTGACACCGTCGATCACCGCATACTCTTAGAAACCCTTGAAGGCATAGGTATGAGAGGTACAGCATATGAACTGTTCAGTTCATATCTTACAAATAGAACTCAACAAGTGAAAATACAGGACCCGTATAGTAAGGAACAAATTGTCACATGTGGTGTTCCTCAACGGACGATGTTAGGACCAGTTCTTTTCACAATATATTGGGCACAACAGATGGGATCATCATATAAACCATGTTATGGAAACTTAGATGTGTGGTATACAAAATATAACAATTTTCTGATATACTTGAAGAAAATCATCGAAAAATGTTATATCCCACTCTATTTGTACCCCTTCTGACATATGGAATTATTGATTGGGAAGGAGGATTGCAGATATACAAGAATAAAATAGAAGTCATTCAAAAACGCTTATTAAAAATAAATAACCAAAAAAATCGCGTTATCCATCAGACCAACTTTATTCAGAAACATTTTTTTTTTTTTTACGTTAAATAATTATTTTTTACAAGTATTGCCACGACTCAGCTAGTTAACAAACAAGGATTGATGAGTAGATCTTCCCGATATGATACTATAGGACAAACTCGATATATTGTTCCATTTATGCATAAATCGGTAGGGCAAAGAAGTTACAGTTTTTTAGGGCCAAAAATTTACTTTTGCTCACCTGGAAGTCTGAGAGAGGAAACACAACTAAATTTGTATCGAAAAAGATTGAAAAAATATGTATCAGCAATTTCCAGATTGGCAAAACATGAAACTATAGATATTTGAAATTTTGAAGCATTTGTATGTATATGTATATGTGTGTATGTGAGTTTTCAAGTATCTGTGTGTTTCCATTGATGAAGGTAAAATAGATATTATTGGTTCAGAAAATTATATTGTATTATATATTGTACTAATTAATCCTTATGATCCTATTCACCTCATACTTATTTGTTTTAATATTTCTGTACGAATATATACATATGTATGTACCTACAAACGAGTCTTATATATACTTCGTAGGATGATCCATGGATCATTATTTGTTTATTCCTCTAGAGCTATTGTTAATATAAAATTAAATGTACTATACTATTATTATGTAGACGAATAAATCATTATTATATTTATTATTATTGTCCTAAGGTATATATTGGTCAGACAGGTCGTACGTTCAATCAGCGCATTCATGAGCATAAGATGGATTTTTTGAAGTAGAAAACAAATTCAACAAACGCCAGCCATGCATCAGAAGAAAATCATAGTTTTATGATGATTTCGAAATTCTACACGTAGAAAATAAAGGAATTAAACTCAATCATTTAAAAATCAACAAACTCAAAAATTCTAAAATTTTACTTAACGATCAACTAGACCTCGATGGTTCACCACTGTTTAATTTGTTTTCTTAGTAGGTAATAATATGTATTTGCTATCAACCCTTTGAAGGTAATCCGGTATACCGTATTTTAATGTAGATTGTGCCTATTTTCCGAAAATAAAGGTTTATCCAACCTTTCCACAGGTAATTCTAATCCTTCAGGTAGGAAAAGTAGGATACATAAAAGTTAGGTAAGCCAAGGTTACTTTATTTTATTGCACCAGTATTTCACCTGATGAAGCTCCTGTGTTAGCGAAACATGTCATGTGATTAAGAATTTGGTGGAAATCTCATCGTTTGTGAAGTTTTTACATTTGCTATAGATTTCCATCAAGTAACGGCCGAGTGAATAAAAAAAAGCATCTGTATTATTTGCTAAAATGAAAAAATCGAGGAATAAATATCCGACTAATCATAGCTTTCTGTCGAAATTGGCAACATTGTCAAGTCCATCGTGCATCATCCGCGAGAAGGTCAGGGCTAATTTGGTATATTCTTACGATATCTTCATATGAGAATTGATCGTAGATCTCCACATTGGGAGTAAAAAACCGTAAGCTGACTAACTCTTTTGATATCTTGAGATTTTCTATTTGTTCAAATATTCTACATAATTTTTTGTGAAAATTTTCGAAAAAACAGGTCATGGTCTTTAGAGCTATCCGGCAAAATTTTGGAATTTCTGACTTTGACAATGACCTCACGTTTCAGTAGCGCCAACTGGTGAGAGTGAAAATGTAGGCTCTCATTACCAATTCAAATTGCTCGCGCATTGACGTCACATATTTCGCGGCCGTGTCTGAAAGTTTGAATTCGCTCGTTCATTTATGCGATTCAAATAATTTTTAATATCACTATGAAATAATGGCAAAAAAAATCTCAAAAAATTGTTTTAAGATATTCCAGATATTTCAAGATACTTTTTCTAGAAAATGACTTGTAAGGCCCATTAATGGAGACATATACTGAGAGAGTATGTTAATGTTGATACTCTTGCTTTTTCGAGTACTGAGCAAGAAAATAACGCTGTGCAAATCTAACGATTAGCGATATGTTCCCAAAACGGGTAATGAAAACAGCTGATGCGGCGAATACAGCGCCAACATGTAATGTTAACTAACAGTGTTTACGTGAAGTGCTTTCATTTCATATCACTGAACTGAAATGTTTGAAATTAATTGCTAATTGTGAAAAAATTTTTATATACACCTTGGTAGTGAAGAATTTCATTACCACGAGACCTTATAACGCTCGGCTGAAGCCTCGGGATATAATCTTGGTGCTGGGAAATACTGATATTCTTTACTACCTTGGTGTATAAATAACTATTTCGTGGAAAATTAATTTGACAACAGCAAATGGCAGTTGTTGTTAACTCACTCATCGCGCTTACCACGGTTACCAGGTCGATTTTTATTTTATCTGTAAATACCTTGTCAAAAATTCAGATCTATTTTATGCTATACGATTTCCTAGAAAGGATAATTTTAGTAAACAGTAAAGTAACCTATTTCCAACAAAAAAGAAACAAAATAAACATTCTCATAAAAAAAATAATCATATTCCTAATTCACGATTTGAAAAAACTTCACGAATAGTGAAAGTGAACAACAGATATACAAAACAAATGAAAAAATTGCACGTAAGAAATACACTGTATAAGAGCAGTACATAAAAATTTAATTTGATCTGAATCAGATAAGGTTTTGTCCTTTTTTGGTTTATTAATACCTATATGTATATATTTTTCCTTGGTTTATTCAAAATTACAATACTTGATTTCAGTTTGAGTTACAGCTGGGTTATCAATTATGAAGCTAATCAAAATCCTTCAAAACAAAGTTATTAGATGCATATACAAACTAGATTACTTGGAACCAACAAGACATCTTTATAAACCTAGGCAATTGTTAGATATCACCTCCATTTAAAAATTCAAAATATCAAATTTCATCCATTCTGTCAAATATAATTATAAACATTCAAATCTGAATTTTGATGTCGATAGTCATAAACACGAACAGATAACCAGACAAAATATATGTTAACTCTCATCAAAATTAAATCAGATATGGGTAAAATATATATTTTATACAATGGAACAATTCTCTATAAGGAATTACATGTCAGAAAAATTAAGTGTTGAGAAATTCAAAAAAGAACTGAAAAAATACTCATGTCTTCGATTCTCTAAATCTCTGATCTAAATCAATTCAAGAACTAATATTCAACAGTCTCTAGAAGAAACAACATTATATGTACTATGTATATAATTCAAAAATGGTTATCTAATTTTTTTTTGCTCTTTCATAATTTTCCCTGCTATAAACATATATGTTTCTTGGAAATAATAAAGATTATTATTATTATATGTGAATTTATTACATACTAATTTTGTGAAATCAATTTGAATAGAGGGTGCCGAAATATCATGCAATTTGTAATTGTATGTGATTAGCTAAAAATTAATAATAAAATAGGTAAATATAATAATAAATCAGTGTCGAATTATATTTCAGTAAGTCACGAAATGTTTCAGTAGATCAGTAGTTCAATATGCAAATCAGATCTACTGAAAATTCAGTAGAACTGGCAACCCTGCAGCGGAGAAGTGTTTGCGGACGAAAAGTACTTGCCTTCAAAAATAGCCGGTTTTTCGTTCGGAAATTAGAATGTAAAATAAAATAAAGTAAAATAAAATGAAAATATTTTTTTTAGATGCCTTCAGAGCCGTCGTTCCTGCACTATGTGTCACGTGTCACTTATCCAACAACAATTTCACAACCTCCTGCCGATGCCAGGTTCCGAAAAATAGCTGGCAGCATACGTTTTCTGCCTTCTTAATTAGTAAACTACCGGTAAAAAAATCAGCTTTCATCATTCAAGTCAACATTAGGTCCATGAGAGGAGTACATGGTTCTACAATACGTGTGGCATGAGGTGTTTTTTTTTACTGATATGTCTTTAAACCATAGGTGAAGTTTCAGCTTTCATCATGTTTGTCATCTACTCGGTTCTTTCAACAACATTGATGAGCATTGTCCAACGATTGAGGTGGAAGGAGTGGATTTTGTTGA